AGTAGATCAGAAACATCTGGAAAGTTTCGAAATGTGGTGTTGGAGAAGGATGGAGAAGATCAGTTGGACCGATTATGTGAGAAATGAAGAAGTGTTAATTAGAGTCAGTGAGCAGAGGAATATTCTACACGAAATAAGAAAACGGAAGGCTAATTGGATTGGTCATGTTTTACGCAGAAACTGCCTTCTAAAAGAAGTTATTGAAGGAAAGACAGAGGGGCAGATAGAAATGACAAGAAGACGAGGAAGAAGACGTAAGAAGATGCTGGATGACCTTGGGGACAGAAGAGGATACTGTCATTTGAAGGAGAAAGCTCTAGATGACATTAAGTGGAGGAACTGTTTTGGAAGAGACTGTGGACCTGTCGTCTGACAGATTACTGATGGTGATGATGAATCTGCAATAAAAGTACTGGCTCGTGGATGAGTTTGGGCATAACTCATATTTATACTCTTTTTTGCTGTTGTTCACTTAGGTATCATTTTAATTCCTCTATTATGGTTTTACTCAAGTTTGTCTGGTAATTACATTTAGAAATAAATATTTAGGACTGTGCATGCGCTTCTACTAGCAGCGTGTGCGCGCACTTCCACTAGTGGAGTTTAAATGCCCAACTGGCCAAAACAGGGTACTTTAGCTACGATGACAATACTCATCACTAGTCCGATCAGCGCACTCCAGATGTTAAAGGTTAAAGAAAAAGGAATCAGAGCATCCTGCTAAGTAAAGTAAAGTAAAGTCTATGGGCTGGATGACTGGGCTTCTATTCCCAGCAGGGGCAAGCAAATTTCTTTTCACCATCACTATGCCCAAACTGGTTTTGATGACGATCTGTCTTTATATTCAAGAGCTATTTCCTGGGGGTAAAGTGACTGGAGTGTGACATTGAGCGATCACTTCGTAATGCATCTTCATGGTATCATGCTTAAGCATATGAACAGATTTACCTGAATCTTCAATATGAGTAGCCACTGCTACTGTATCAATCAGTCATGTTGGTGGGGGTTGAGTCCAACTGGGTCCACTTGGCATGGCGGCCATTGATTGGCCTATTGTAGCCTGCCCCAGGTAATTATGATGGAGAATTTGGTGGAATGAAGATTAGCAGGGGAAACCAAAGTACTCAGAGAAAACCCGCCCCAGCGCCACTTTGTCCACCACAAATCCCACTTGACCATACCCGAAATCGAACTCAGGCCACCGCGGTGGGAAGCAAGTGACTAACTGCTTGAGCCAGGGCATGGCCTCCATCAGTCATGTTACGTCTTTTGTTGAAATGCCACATGCGTGTTACAGGCTGAAATGAGTGTTTATGTATAATAATCACATCAAAAGTATGGAGAAGATTCTCGCATAAATTCCAATTCCAAACAGAAAAAAAACTATTTACATAATTATAAACAAATTCAGACAAACAGGATTATTAAACAACAACAAAAAACAATCACAATATAGTGTGCTAACTGAACAGAAACTGGATGAAATTGGTGTTGGGGATGAAGTTTCAGGCTTCAAATTTCAAGTCTGCTCTATTTTCGAAAAGGAACTTCAGTGCATGAATGTAAATTTTAGAGGTGTACAAGGGCTATTTCTAGAATTTGCCGATTTGGGCTGGATTTATTTACAATCTGTAGGCTTATGGACTTGGAGGTTGCACTGTGGTCCCAGTCACATCCCGCAAGAGTTCATGTGAGGAGTGTGTAAATCAGTTGCTGAACTGGCCAGGCAATATGCTGGAGGTCTTCTGGCAACCTCTCTGAAGTAACCAAGCAACAAGAGTGCTTGAAAGGGTCCAATGTTTCTCATCAAAGGAGAAAATCTATTAGGAATATGTGGAGAAAGAAGTGAAACTGACATTGAAAACAACAGAAAAATGGTACAGAAATGACAATAATTTAGAGTCATTTGCTCTCCCCCCCCCCAAATTGGGATTCTAGTATCCACTAAACAGAACATCTGCACCAATTCGGTTTCCCATCTAGAGTATCTTAAGTTCGGAGCATATTACAATAATTGTAATGTACTCGGTCTGATGTGTTTGATATTCTTTTGTATTCAAATTTCAAAACATAAAGTCACAAATAAAATGTCACTTGCTGCATTAAGTGGTCAAAATAAATAGATAAAAAATGAAGATGAACCTTGTTAGTGTTTTAGCTTCCAGAATTTCGTTGAATCTTTTGCATGTTACACTCAGATTCAGTATGTCTCCTCCCTTTACATATTCGAATATATGAACCAACACCTCAGTTGGTAAATTCAGAACACTCATTTCTATATGCAGTGGATTCACTTGTACCTATAAACAATTTTTCCAATGTAACAGTTGCGATGGTTGCGATGTTACATACGTATACATGTCTCAAAATCATGTGCCACATTCAGCTTTCGTATCTCACGAACAGCCCCGTGCAACTACCATGTTATTGGTTGGCAACATGGCTGCCATGACACCTCGGTGAAATGCTGCTGCCATCTATGTTCAGCTTACATGACTAAATTAAAAATGATCTTTAGGGCCGAGAGCACAATCGGTAAGAAGGTATACTACCTTAGCAACTATTTTGAGTGCTCCCCCCTCGATCAAATCAAAATGTTTTTTTCGCTACTAGCAATATATACTTTTAGATCTCTTGTACTGCAGTCTCTCTTTCCTTCTGGCGTTCCCACTAATAACCTATATGCATTCCTCGCCTCCCCATTCGTGCTACATGCCCTGCCAACTTCATCCTCCTCGACTAGTGATATTGAACACAGTTCAAAGTATTAATTTCCCCACCAACCTATTTCCATTTTTGAACTGCGTTCAATACCACTAGTCGAGGAGGATGAGGTTGGCAGGGCATGTA